ATATATATATATATATATCAAGGAAACAAATAGCTCGCTAAAGTTGCCGCTATTTGAGAAATAGCTTTTTTTGGCAGCGTGCCGCTATTTGTATTCATGTGCAATTTAGCCGCTAAATCCCGCTAAATCTCCGCTATAGCTCCGCTATAGCTACAGTGCCATAAACGTTTTAGCCCGCTATTTAAAACCTTGATATATATATATATATATATATTTTACCAACAAAATAATCCGTTAGTAATTAATCAAGTTTTCTATAGTAACGAATTTTGTTGTTGCTATATGAGTTGTTGCTAATTATTGTCAACAGTAAATACAATCCCTGAGAAAATTTCCAACGACTTATCACCGAATTTGCAACGAAAATGCTTCATAACATTGTCAACAGATTCTCAATCCGTTGACAATTGCAAATTATTAAGTAAGTATATACTTGTACTATTATTTGACATATTTTTAATTTTATTTAAAAAAATTGTACACCCTAGATAGCAAGATCTGTCTAACAGAAGGTTTATTCCATTATAATTTACTAGCCGTCCAGTTAATTGGGGTCAACTTTAACTTAATTACTAATGGCGTGTTAAGTTATGCTAATTTTTAATTATAATGGCTCATTAGCTCGTTATTTACTATATAATATGACTGGTTAGACTTGTGTGACTCAGTGACATGATTTTCCAGGCACTATCTTCTCTTTCTCTCCAATAAAGAAAGTTAAATTAAAAACATCATGGGAAGCAATAATTAGAGTTGTTCAAGTTTGGGTAATAATGATTAACTTTGTTCCTAAGTGTGTTTTTTTCTTGCTAAACGGGGTTTAAGATTTAACAGAAATTTATCTAGAAGAATTGTGGTGTCTGAATCTTAAAATAAATGTTAATGGATTTTAGAAGCTTAGGCAGTATATCAATAGGCCTAAACGAGCCGAGTTTTCTTTACTAAACAAGTCCATGAACGAGTCGATTTCGAATTTTAATGAACTGGACTATAAAAAACTATATACAAATTAAATTATATTTTCAAGCTTTAACGAGTCGGACTCGATTCGTTAACTGAACAAGATTTGAACAAACTCAAGCTCGACACGTTTAACAGCGAGTCTGAAATTCGACTGTACTGAAAATTTCAGCTCTAAAAGCATAAATGGATAAAAATGTTACTTCTCCATGCACACAAAACTATGTGTATCAAGTACTATTT